GTTGTATAAGTTATTAAATTTTTATTTAACATTTATATCTAAAATGTTAAACAATTAAACTAAAACTATTAAAAATAAATGGAAATAGAATTAATTAAAAATTATTTTTTATATAAGTAGTTTTAATTGAGCATCTAATGGTGCATTTGAGATTGTGATTGGAGTTTTTCATGTAACCATAAAACTTTTTTTTTTTTGATAAAATGTATAATTGGATTAATAATCAAAAAGCAATTATAGTGCAAAGTATACCATGCCATATAGGCTATGCAAGAGAGATAAATAAGCTCGGTAAGACCTATAATATTAATATAGAGAGATTAGTGCTTCATATAAATAGAACAATTAAAAATTGGGAACCTTTAAATACTAGTATATGTTATAGAGGCATCAATAGAGCTATGTGATAACATAGAAAGACTACACTGGAACTTACGGTCACTGTTGGTAATCACATCTATTTTGCCATCCAAACCTAGCACGGGATATTAGGGGACTTGGTGATGTGGTGTCTCTTGGCACCACAATGCTACGTCCAAGCAAAAAATGACTAATTTGTTTCATGCTCAGATGGCCAGCAAAAGCAAAACTAGTGCAAAAACATACACTTCCTTAGAAGACCAACAACACTAGAACCAGAGTCACCCATAGCATCCTTGTTTTTTTGTATTTGATTACCATATCGAAAATTGGAGTGCATTAAGTTCTTTAATGTAGATCAAAGGATGTCGTTACCTTGCCGAAAATTGGAGTGCACCATGTTCTCCAAATGCAACCCTCGCCAGGATCCCTTCCGAAATTGAAGATATGTTGAAGCGTGATTCTAATCCGATGAATAAGAGAAACCCAAACCCACCTGCGAGATCATGTCCTTTGATATTCAGTCACAACCTTCAAAAATTAACAGTAAATGTAGATCGAAAGATTCTGCTGCCCTGTGGTCCCTTGGGTTGAAGTTTCCAAAACAAGACAGTTGACTAAGAGAAAGGAAGAAATCAAGAGGAGGAAGGGAAGGGAAGAAAACAATAGAGAAAGAAGAAACTCTTTGCCAAAAAGAAACCCTTGGGAGAAACCCGTAACCGTTGCCCTCAACCCTAGGTAGAACACGAGAGAAAAAACAAAAGTCAACCATAAAACATTTTTAGATATATATGTGTTTAATAATTTTTTTTTCAAATTATTTTCTCTAAAAACTATAAAATATACAATAGATTTACAATACTTTTATATATAAAGTCAGAAGCTTCGTTTTGGAGATTCTAATTGTGGTTTTTAAGGAAAATACATAATATTTAATATAATTATAAAATTACTCATTAAAACCTAATTTCATATAATTTAATTACATCATAATTTATAATATTTTAATAATTATAATAAATCTAAAAAACCTAAATTATTAAAAAAAGTAAATATTATATATTTCAATAATTAAATATCTTACAATATTTTTTAAATTTTAATTAATAATTAATCAAATCTATTATATTTCATCAATAATATTTTTAAAAAATAAATAACTAAACATTAAAATAACTTTCAATTACAATTATAATACAATATAATCATAACCACAGTTACAGTCACAATACTTCACAATAATATTAAAAGTACCATAAATATTCTTTTGTAGAGTTAATCATTGATAAAGAGGCATGCCCTTAATATTAGGTATTGTCTCTTCCATTAATAGTTGAATGAATGGATTGCATTTTAATTTTTTACTTAAATATATATTTTTCTTTAATTTTGATTCACTTACTATGTAAAATTGAGGAATTAGAATAATTAAAAACCAGGGAGTAAACGACTGTAATATATATACACAATACAAGATAGAAAATTAAAAATAAAACATCAATTTTGCATAAATAGTAAAACCAACATTGGGGATCAATGTATAGGAAGCTTCCTCACCTGCACCTGCATATTCATTGTTCAATACCTAACCCCATTAAGAAAGTTGACTTTACTGTTTTAATATTTTACTAAGTTAAATTACTATCATGTCCCTCAAGTACATATTTTTCAAAACAAAAATATTGTTTCTCTTGAAAAAAAGAGTTTCATTTACGCAAGAAATGTAAAATAAGAAAATTAGCTGACTTTTCGGTTTCTATAGTTAAAATTAAGGAGATGATTTATGTTTTGTATATAATATTATATATTATTTTATTTTATTAAAAATATTTTAATAAATTTATAAATAAATTATAATTTTATTAATATATAATCTTATTTGTAAAGCACTTTTTAGTTAAAGAAAAAAAAATCTGGTGCAAAAGAAAAAATGCTTTCGATGCTTCCGGACAAAAATGAAAAATAAAAAAATTTTGGAGCAACAAGGACAGCGAGGTGGAAGAGGTTGGAAGGATACAAACGTCACGTTCTCTTTCTCTTACCCTTTCAAGGATGAAAGATACTACATAAATAAAATACTAGACTAAATTTAAAAGGCACAAAATTCAAGGTATCTTTATTGAAATTTGGATTTGCTGATTTTTCCGTATAATATTCATGAACCGTATTGACATCTATACCCTAGCTTATTTTCATTTCAATTTAGGGTTTTTTTTTTATCTTTCATTGACCTTCTCTCCCTGTTTCAATTTCTGGGTATTGCTCAAGCTTTTGAAAGGCTGCAGCCTTAGAGTCTTTTGTTTATACAAGCTTCTGGGTGGTCTCAATTCCGTAGTGTTAGGTAAGTTTTGGTGGTGCACGGAAATCCGAAGCTTTTTGTCCCTCCTGAAACTTTTTATGTATACCGAGGTTTCGTTTGGGAATTTGGGATTTTGCAAAGTTTGGTTCTTTCTCTTTAATTGGAGGGATTTGTTGGTAAAGCAAGAGAAATATCTTGGCTTGCTTTTGAGAAGTTGCTTTATAGCTTATATTTGAAAGGTTTTAGTTGATTCAGTGAAGAAATCCTTTAGGGGCTTATTTGGGTTTTTGGAAGATAAAGTAGGGCTGATGGTGGTGATGATGGTGATTCACGGGCAGTAGAACAGTGAATATCGGTGCAGAAAACGGTAATAAAGCTGTGACGGGGATGCCGAGCTACGTTCCTACTATGCCAACTTCCAATTCAAAGTAAAGACATAATTTTTTAGTTCTATTCTTTCTTTCATTATTTGCTCTTTAAATATGCTACCTGTAACAGCCCGTCCTTCTTTGTGCAGTTTAAGGTTTTAGTTAATTTTCTTGTTATTCATTTAGGATATGTTATTTCGTTTGGTTAGCCCTAAGAAATGGGAAGTTTTGATTGGAGCATTAGAACTTAGGTTTGTTTTATGTCAACTTTTAACGAAAGGTTTTTGCAGCGATGCTGCTGAGGTGGGTCTGGAAGTGTTATGTGTTTGTTTTCTCTTATATATGTGGGTAAAGATTAGAGTGCATTAGCTGTGTGGTTATTACATAGCAGAGAGCTGTCAAGTTTTTACCCTGAAAGTGATAGCCTTACCATCTCTAATATAAGTTCCCAAATCAAGTGTAAAACATTTAATGCTTTGTATTTGAGCATGGTACTTCGTGACCTCTGTTGCACTTTCTTTGGTTAATTGATTTCTTGTTTGCCGGTCTTGTTGTATTCATATCAAATATATAAAAATGCTGGTTTTCTCCTTACTTTCAGAGAAGTATTTGATAAAAAAATGTGTATTCTGTAATTTGTTAGTCAAATTAAGATCAAAGTTCAGTATTGAGTTCTGGAAGTAAGGAATTCTGTATTGATCTGGTTTTGGTCAGTGTATAAATGGTAAAAAATTTTAAAGTTACTGTGTTTGTGATATGGGTCTTTGTTTCCTATGTTCCCTGATGTGGTAGTAGTTAATGTATAACTGATAAAAGATTTCTAAGTTAGTGCTTGTGATAAAGGTTCTTGTTTCCTCTGATTTATGAATTAAAATGATTGAGCCTTTTTTTTTAATGCCTTTTTGCAATTTTCACTATCATCCTGAATAGACATCATGAATTTACCCGTGATTCCTTTCCTTGTAATATGGATTTCATTTTCACGTTGTTTTATTAATGGGCAGTATTGTTTACTTTTGGAACATATGGTCCTGATGAATATGGATTTCAGTGGCACAGAAGCAAACAACATTCATTCTTCTCGACTTTCTGATTTTGGTGCACTTGAGCAAACCCTTGGATTTCGCATAGAGGATGCTGTTAACCTTAGCAGAAGTATGTTGTAATTATCTCGATTTCTTTTCTAAAGTGGATTGCATTTAGCATTATTGATTTTTTCTTTTTTCATCTCAACTCATAAGTTGAACTTGTTGCTTAACCTTTTGTTAAGTTGTCACAAGGAATGAATTAAAGTTTGCACTTAGCTATCATACACTTGTTAACTTGCTCCCAGTTTTCCAGCCCATATTGCCTAAGACAACTATTTCAATTATAAATTTCTGTCTCTTATTATATATTTGCTTATTTTAATCGAAAAAGAATGATGAATTCCAAAAAATGAGAAAAAAAAAATTAAATAAAAGCTAGAACCTGCTGCGTATATTCAACATGTAAAATGTTAATTTATGTTTTTTTTTTCCCCTAAAAAACAGTTTGTATCAGTTGGTTATGTATTTTTCTGTTATGAAATTGAAGTGGCTAATGGATTTGGGGTACTTTTTAGCATTTATCTTATTTTACAGAATCTCACTGTGATTAACATTTCCTATTCAATAATGTTTTTGTCTCCAGATCCTGTCTTTAATCAAATAAAGTCAAATAGTCAGTCAGTAGCTGCTGATGCCCAATTAGGTGCTCTGAATAAGGTGAATAATTATCCTTGCACAAGCCATGTTTTATGCTTTAGAATTTATTAATATTAGTTATTCAGAACTCTCTTTGGAATTCAGACATCTGCAGAGGCCAACCTGTCTGCTTCCATTGTGGGGTCCCAGGTGCTCCCACTGCAAAAGGATCCACAGTCAAATCTTGCATCAGTATCTGGTGGTCACAGAGAGAACTGGGGCGAGTCCAATATGGCAGATGCCAGTCCTAGAACTGATACTTCAACAGATGACACAGATGATAAGAATCAAAGGGTGCTGCTTCTCACTTCCTATATAGACATTAAAGCAGTTTGTTATCTCTTGGCTGTTCTCTTTTTTGGTGCTAATCTTTCATATGTAGTTTTAATATACCATTGGTTTCATCCTTGCCATTTAAAAAGACAAAAATTCATATATAATTGTGTATTTTTCATTTAACATTGGAGCCTGTGGTGTTCCGTCACTAGTGAGTCTGATATGTTGTTTTGTAAACTTTTATGCAGTTTGAAAGAGGTCAGGGGAACACTGTTATGGCTTCTGATTCCAGTGACAGATCAAAAGATAAAACAGATCAGAAGGTTTTTTCCTTAAATCCAGTTTTCTATGTAATTTTAGCTTAATTACCATAGTTCTAATTTCTTTCTCTGCTTGGTGATTGCTTTGCAGACCTTGCGCAGGCTTGCTCAAAATCGTGAAGCTGCAAGAAAAAGCCGGTTGAGGAAAAAGGTGTGTCCCTTTTGATTTGGTTTGATTTTTTCTACTTATACTGGTGATAGAGTAGTATCTATATGTAAGCAGTTTTCTGCCTATTGATTAATTAGTATTATGGTTAACAGAAAGGCCCTTCCTTTTAAAATGTTTATGCTCATGTTTTTTTTCCCTTTTTGGGAGGGGGTCAGTCATGTATGAACGTGAGGCAAGCATGAAGAAGTGTATAAGGGGAAATTTCAAATTAATATGACATCTCAGATGTTTTTGTGAGTTGTGTTGGGCTCTGTGCAGGGATTGTATTAGCTTAATCTTAATTCTGAGTTCTTTTTGTCCTTTTGTCTTTAGGCATATGTGCAGCAACTGGAGAGTAGCCGGCTGAAGCTTACACAACTTGAGCAAGAGCTCCAGCGAGCTCGTCAGCAGGTATTTTTTCTTGTTATTTCCTTAACATTTCCATGTCTGGTATTTTATTGACCTACCATTATGTCTGACACTATTTTTACTGTAGGGCATATTTATTTCAAGTTCAGGGGATCAATCCCAATCCAATTCAATGAGTGGAAATGGTATTTTAGCTGTATTACTGCACACCTGTTCCATAATTTTAAATCATGACTGAATTAGACATACGTAGATATTGTCACTGGTGCTTAATCTATACTTGACTTCTGTTCAATTGTAGAGATATATTACGAGAACTTACATCTATCAGAAACCTTTCTGTCCTGTATTTGCCCAAATGAACAGGTTCTTGTAGTGGCAGTCATCGGTTGCTCAAACACTTGCTCATTGTGATTTCAAAGTGCCTAAATTTGGTTGTAAAGCTGCCAAAAATATGCTCACTGATGACCATTTATTACTAATGTTACAGATATTGGTTTGGTTAGATATAAGATTTTACCTATGTCAAGTTTTTGATATGGAATCTGCCTAGAACATATTATTTGTTTGATAGCATCAGAGAAAATACAAATTTAGACTGTTTAATCCAACTGCCAGAGTTAAGGAAAGTCTGCTTGCTGCTGCCCCTTTGGCATTTCCTTGCCTTGCTCTAGGTCTATTTATCAATATATCAAAACCTTGCTTTCTTAAGTCTCTACTCTAGGTTTAGGTTAGTAACTTGTTCCTTGCTTTACTCTTTGCTGTGCTTAAGGTCTATGGTATAGAGCAGATGTTTCTGCTGTGGGAATGGGGTATGGACTGGGAATTGAGATAACGTACACATCCTAAAGACTGATCACTTGGGCCTTAAAATCTTATCTGTACTTGGTTATTTTCATCATGTGGTACTGTTGCTAACTCAGTATCGAATGAATTTAGTTGTCTCTTTTCTCCTGTTATTTTGATGAGTGCTGGTGATGCTGAGATTGCTATGCTAAGATAATTGCTTTCTGGACAATCGTGAAGGTGCACTGGCATTTAATGTGGAATATGCACGGTGGCTTGAAGAGCACAACAGGCAGATAAATGAACTTAGGGCTGCTGTTAATTCACATGCTGGTGATACTGAACTTCGGACTATTGTTGACAATGTCACAGCACACTATGAAGACATTTTCAGGCTAAAAGGTATTGCAGCAAAAGCTGATGTTTTCCACATTTTATCGGGAATGTGGAAGACACCAGCAGAGCGGTGTTTCATGTGGATTGGCGGCTTCCGTTCGTCAGAGCTTCTTAAAGTACGGCCCACAATCCCACTTCCAGTTATTGATTTCCTGATCTTGATTTTTGTAAATATTGTAGTCTGACCAGTGAAAGATGTTGGAGTTATATCATATCCATAAAAAATCTAGGTGCTCACTAGGAATGGGAATATAGTTGCAACCTTGAAAGGATAGCTGAGACATTGGATATTAATTTAGAATGATCATTAATCAAGTTTTAGGTTTAGAAAGTAATTGAGCAGTGAAAAATGTGGTAAGTTTAGAGTATATGCTGGAGGATCAAAGGCCAATTTTGTATGGTAGTGTGATGACTGATGACCATGAGGTTTGAATGGAGTGGTGGGTTATTTTCTAAACATACTCCAAGACTCTTGGTGAAACATTAGTAGGATGGTTGTTGAGCTTGATTTTTGTTGATACAGCTTCTTTCAAGTCAATTGGAGCCTTTAACCGAGCAACAGCTAGTGGGCATTTACAACCTCCAGCATTCATCCCAGCAGGCCGAAGATGCTCTGTCGCAAGGAATGGAACAATTGCAACAATCTCTAGCTGAGACATTGGCCAATGGCACACCAAACCCATCAGGATCATCTGTGGTTATGGCAAACTATATGGGTCAAATGGCCATGGCAATGGGAAAACTAGGGACGCTCGAGGGGTTCCTTTCCCAGGTATGGACATGATATTGCTTTTCTCCAATGCCGATCCATACTCGATTTCAAATTTGAAAGTCACACCATATACTGCTTGCATCTGTTACTTTAGAACAAGTCACTTTTTGTCAGTTTCCTGCATGCTGTGGCATTCTCTATATAATAAATAAATGCTTGGATGGTTTGCCAGGCTGATAATCTGCGTCAGCAGACACTACAACAATTACACCGTATATTGACAACAAGGCAATCAGCACGTGCTCTTCTTGCCGTAAATGACTACTTCTCCAGGCTTCGAGCTCTCAGTTCTCTCTGGCTGGCACGGCCACGGGAGTGAGATGCAGGTGTTTCCATCTTATGAATCAACCAACTGCCCTTAAAAAGCTTAGTGTTCTCTCAAAGAAATGCTCCTATTTGCAATTAGCTGGGTTACTTCTCTCTTCAACTTCGATTTGATAGCCTTTCAGGACACAACTACCCCACAGCAAGGATGATTTTACTGTGTTTATAGGTCTGTTTTGTCAATTGCAACTTTAAGATATGCTTGCTCTAGGTGTTGAATGCGCATTGCTTATGTTGTATAATGATAGTGCAATAAAACTAAGGATCATTGATGATGCTAAAATGAAGAAAAGATAGTTGAACATGTAAAATAGGTTAAACCTATCAATTTGTATACCATAAATTCAGCTTGAGGTAGGACCAAAATAGTCTGTTTAAAGGTTGTTCTAATTTCCTTAGAATTTATTATGTGAATAAATGTTTTTATTGACGCCGAATTGGGTTTTCAGATCTTCCATATGGTAATCATGGTGCAATTAAACTGCAATTAAATGTCTTTATGGCCCTAAAATTACTTCACTGATATGTAATTCTTTTTCCGGTACACCTAGTGATGGGCAACAGGGTAGCCATCTTTTTCTTATATACTTTTGCCCATTTTAGGGCTCATTAGAACATTTTCAAGGAAATAGTTAAGGTCACACATTAAAATTGTTAGAAGTGGCAAAAAAAAAAAAAAAAATTTAATAGTTATTTATAGTGTTTGAAAATACTTATGTATAAATTATTTTAATTTGTTAGGTAATAAATATCAATTATTTTGTTATTTATTAATTAAAAATTATAGTTATTGATTTTTTTAATATTAAATTAAATAAAATTAATATTTTAAAAGACAATATTTAAAAATATATGATTTCAATAATTTATTAGATAATCATAATCATATCTTATTTTCAAAGAGAGCTGGTCTTTATAGGGCAAGTGCTTTTGCAGGTTGACGGTCAGCGCATGTCACGCTACTTGCTTGCGGTTGATCCCACGGCTTTGCCCATTATATATGCCCTAAAAGGAGACAAAACAAGTTAATAACATCTGCTGCATGACATATAATTTTCCATGTCTTTTATACAAACCAAGCATGACAAAACTCATACATAAGTTTTATAGATGACTTGAAATAGTAACAATATATATTAATACCAAAATCTTAATAAATATACATGATGTAATGACTCAAAATCTAGAGTCAGTTCTTTACAAATTGACCAGTCACTTTGAAGACCATAAAACAATGAGTGGAAGAAAGTAACAAGCACGCAAAAACAATACATAACAATTTGATGATTAAATTATGTGTTTCTATGGTTATTGCAACCACCACTGTGTGAGTTGCCTATTAGCTCCGTGCTTCCCTGGAAAAACATCGCAACAAATTTCAATGATCAATCTATGATCTTTTATGTCTATGGTGTTTTGTTGGTTAGATATGTATAAATAATCAGCAACCAGGATGAAGTACAAGGGCAATGAAGTAAAACATAATACCTTGCAGAAGCAAACTGAGAAGGGATTAACTATTTATGACCCCCCCTTGGTGTAATGCTACGTCGTGTCTTTTGATCTTGGTCCTTTCCAACCCGCATAGCTGCCACTTCTTTCTCCATGGCAGCTACTTCTCTCCGCATTTTCTTGGCTTCAACTTCCATTGCTTTATTCAATGTTTCAACCTTTTTCGCCAGCATCTGTTTTATATCAGATGGGAAAACAAGACTGGATCAGATGCAAATGGGACAAGTAGCTGCGAACACTGAAAAGTACAAAAAAAGGTATCTTATCAAACCTCAATTGCATCATCCTTATCCTTTAAGTTCTGATCCTTTTCATGGCAAGCCTTCCTCAGAGTTATAACCTCTTTCTGCAACATGTCATACAGAACTCCAGAAACATAATCTTCTTGTTTTCTTTCTGATTTTTCAGTCAATCCATCTGAAGTCTCCTCAGACATAACGTCAGTTCCTGCCTTCTGATCACTGGTACCAGTAGGCATGCTATCTTTCCTAGTGCCATCTAGAATCAGCTTACCTCCATCCAATGACCTACTACAACCATCAAATGATCTTGATGACGTTTTGGCATTTCTCAATAAGGCAGTAGCTCTATTAGATCGCACAGGCCCAGAATATGAATTCAGTGCACTCAAGAAATTGTCAGCTCCACCAAGTGATTGATGCCGTGTCAAACCATTGGCTATACTTCTTCCTTCAGAGACAACGCGTGAATTACAAGTAGATGCTTTAAGCTTTTCCTCCAAAGTCTTAAATCTTAATTGGTATTTTTCCTGTACAATCAGTCAACACATGAACATTCAAGAATGATCCTATTAATCAGGTTATGAGCGGCAAAAATAAGCAAAACATGTTAACTCACTTTCAGTTGTGCTTCTGCTTTTGCAGTTCGCTCAGCTGCAGCCAGTTTATCTCGAAGCTGTTGCATTTCTCCCTACAAAATATTGAAAATCAAAATGTTTGGTACTGTAATAAACTTTTTCCAGTTTCAAGCAATTCTAGAAAACCTTTTGAGAACAGCAAACCAGCATCAACTTCTTAACAACCTTTCCTACCTTCACTCCATCACATTCATCATTAATATATAGATTAATAATGCAATAGACCTTTTCTATTTCTACTTCAGAAGAAAGACCTGAGAATTGCCAGTGTGTGTTAGATTATCTGTTATCTGGAACCTCTTTCTACAGAAGAAGAGAACAGGAAGAAAAGAGTTGTTTTCAATGCTAGTGCTTTTACTTCTAGAGTATTATTTAATTGAACCATATAGCTGCATACGAAAGTCTGAATGAGAATACTGAAGAATTTTCTTAGCAAGAGAACCTCTAAGATATAAGCTAACCAAAATTCATAATTACTAAATAAACCGTAGAAGAAAATATATAGTCTACAAAGTAATGGAAACATGCCTGAAGAACTCTTCTTTCCTCAAGCCATTGCTTAACGGGCATAACTTTGTCATTTCCATCTTTCCACTCATTTGCAACCACAGTAGCAACCCTGTTTGCACTAATCTTTGCACGAGCCACCTCTCTTTCCAGAGTCTTTTTCTCCTCCTGTTCAAACATGGAAGTCTTGAATTTGGTCCTTCGTGAAATACTTGAAGCAACCAAATGGTATTTAAGAGGAAAAGAAAAAATAATTTAAATTCCAGGAATTTTTAACAGTCAGTACATTCATTTCTTGCACTTTTCGCTGGTAGTCCCGAACAGCATTAGCAGCAGCCCCACCAGATAATACAGCCTCCTCGAGTTCACGAACTGTTTGTGTTAGTTTTTCAACTTCGGCAACCTTCTGTCGATGCATTTTGTCTAGAATCCGGTTTTCCTCCTGACATGCAGGGAAGATGTCAACTTGAATAGTCTATGAAGCTATAGACATCCAGTATCAAATTCAGACTTGCATGGATAATTACGTAAAAGAAAGTTTTGAAAAGGCACTAACCTGGCATATTTCAACCTGCTTCATAAGCTCTTGGTTTTTGTTTTGTAGATCATCAACAAAGGATGCCTTAGCCAGGGCCATCTGGACTGTTCTCTCAGCCTCAAGGAGAGCAGCCTCCTTTGACTTAGTGAGTCGATCCAGTGCCCTGTTGTCATCTTGCAACTTGACAGCCTAAAATGGTGAAAACGTTTAACTCATAGAAACACGGAAATGAATTAATGACAACATATATCAAGAGTTTCAAAACCAACTTCCACATTAAACAAGCCAAAATCATTAACTGAATCAAAAGAATCAAAACATGTTTGGAGATAGTAAGTGAGTTCAATCATGGTTATAGTCTTATAGATACTAGAAGCCCAAAATTTTTTAAGAAAATACTTTACTGTATACCTCCAATCTAGCAAGCTTAAGTTCTGCCTCTAGTGGAGTGATGATTGCCTCAATGGGAGGCATTTCATCATCTTTTTGAGCAGCATGGACTCTTCGGAGTGTGGCTTCTGCAGCAAATTGTGCAGCCAAAGCTTCTTTTTTCTCATCATTAATCCTCTTGATCTCAAGGTTCTGCAAACTCATAGCACAAGCAATTTAACATTACTAAATTATAACCCAGACAGACTTTAAATTTTGATGTTCAACCAGGCTACATAGATAACCAGGCACGTTACCTTGCTCTCTAGAAGAGCTTCAGTTGCTTTAAGCTTTTCACCAACTTTCTTAAGCTCGTCTGTTAGCTGCATAACTCAAAAACAAAACAATAAGCTATCATGCACATGGCAAAAACACAAAGCTTCTTTTTCTTTCTTCCTCTCCAGAACACAGTGTCCTCTTTTGTTGTTGAAGATATCATCTCTCCTATCATACATATCTAGCCTTCTACCCACAATCCAAAAATTAAATCAGAAGCATATTCAAATTCTACCTTCTAGGAATGAACTGCTGTTCAAACCAAAAATGGTTGAAGATCCTGAATTAAAAACAACCTGAATTACTGAGATGCCAATGAGATCCTAAGTACTATTTTCACTCCATTTTGAGCATATAACCATAAGATAGTCAGCGTGCTGATAGATTAGTGGCAACTACTTGCACTAGGTAGTCTTATTAAGTGCATCATTTCCAGCATAATCTAGCAGAATTTATAATAATTAGTAGACAACAAAACTTCCATATAGATAGAAAAAGATACATTAAAATGAAAAAAGAAAAAAAAAATCCCTAGTATAACTTCATTGATAGAGTGATATGAAGGATCAATTTAACAGATTGAAGCCAAATGGATCTGGAATGCATCCTCTTCTGCATCCATGAATCCATTTAAAATCTAGAAAATTCAACAGTAAATATATCAATTTCTTTCGGCCAAGTTTCTCAACCAAAAACAAATTCAAATCAAGCAGAAATAAGTCAAACGTAACACCTATTATCCATTATCCACCACCAAGTTGACCAGGCATGAACAAGAACAATCAATCCAAATTACCTCTTCAACTGCCTTTTCCTTGAGTCGTTCCGAATTTCTCAAAGACTTGATTTCTGCCAGCGCCTCTCCCAATTCCCTATCTTTATCTGCAAAGTACGATCCATCAAAATCTCACTAGTACTACAATTACAGTCAAATCCACACAATACTACAAGCAACTAAGAGTTCCACGGAGTAACTGCAGTTTGCCTCTCTAATGGAAATAAGAGTAAATCTGCCTTCTGAAAAATTGGTATACATAAAAACTAGACAGATTACTTAATAAATTCTAAAAATTTTCAGAAAAATCAGCATTAAAAAAAATAAAAATCTAAACCAAATCACGTTGAACAGTATCAACAAAATGAATATTTCTTTCCTTGTCTTCAGAAAATTGCTATTCCGATTGCATTTCGCAATTGTAACGAAAGATGATACAAAAATTGACTCGAGAAAACAAAATTTTCCAGGAACATAAAAAAGGAAACAGAAAGATTAACAGAATGTTTGAATAACCTCGAACTTCGTTTTCTAGCCTGTTAAGCTCGACACGGACGGGATCGGAGCCGTGGAGGAGAGTGACAATATCATCGACTTCAGGTCGCGGCACGGCAGCATTGGTCTTCGGTTTCCTAGCCTTGAAAGAAGCCGACGAGCTCAGCACTGGCGGCTTCTGCGGCTCCATGCCGCCGTCGCCGTTGCTCATTGTCGTCGATTGGTCCAGCTGGAACAGGAAAGATCTAATGGATGATGGCTAGCTCATGAAAACCAGAAAATATCAGGAGACACGCCCAGTCCAGAATCCAGAGTACAGCTGTGGTGTGGAGAGAGAAACAGTTGGAGGATATAATATATATGGAGAGGATTAAGGAGGGGTTTAGGCGCGGACTTAAATTAAATAGACAAAATAAAACATTTATTTAAACATTTTTTAATTTTTATTAGAAGATAAGTATTACCCCCTTAATTTATTTTTAACTGCTCTACTTTATTTTTTAAATTTTCTTTTAAAACTTATATTTAAAATTTTAATATATTATATAAATGATAATTAAAAAATTTTAATTAAATAAAAATACTCAATAAAAACTTTATAAAATTTTTTTTAATTATTATTCATTTAAATTGTTACTTTTATTTGATATCTAAAATATAAAAAATTAAAATTAAAATTAATATTACTAAAAGTAAATGAAAAGAGTATATATCATTAGTTATGAATTAATGAGGTTACAAAGAATTCAAGGAGAATAATTTTATTTTTGGTTCCACAAGATTTATTTGTACTAACCAATTTATAAAAAAGCATCTTTACATTGATCTCTTTAAAGAATCTAACTTCGATTAACGAGGTGAAAAGTTAATTTCATACTAAGTCTTTGTTTAATGATGTTTTTGGATACTTTAATTTTTGACTTTATGTCTTTTTATTATTTTAAAAATATATAAAATATTAATTAAAATAAATATTAAATATATTTTATATATTTT